CACCCTCTTCAACCTAAATGTAACCTTAGCCTAAACTCAGTTCACACTTTAGTCGTAAACTAGGGTGTGAGTTGTACTAATTGAGTCCAATCCGCTCACACTTGTTCAAGCCCATAGAAGCACTGTAGCCTTTTAAACATGATGCGGCCATAGGTGCAGTATTGTCCAGAAACAGTTAACATCACTTTTCCATAATGACCACACACAGTGTTGGAAGCAATTATCATGAATATTTGGTGTTTCTGTGGAAATAAACGCAGGGCTAGAGACAGAAGATAGATGTTCACTCATTGCACTAAGAAAGACATGGAGATTGAGAATACAGCCTTTCTGTAAGCCCATAGAGATCTCTCTAAAATGAGAGGTTCGAAAAAATGTGCCTTACTAAATGAAAGCTGATGGATTTACACACCCTGCGTTGTTGTTTTAGACTTGATTTACTCTGAAAGTGATGAAAACAGAAATCAAAATTCTCTTTTTTACTGTTTTTCTTTTATACCCCTGAAAGCATACCAGTTACTTGTATATGTAGACAGAGAATAAGCACCAATAACTTACCATTAAGCCAGCTCGACCCTTTGCTCGCTTGGGCGCTGAGACAGCATGGTTGCCTCACTTAAGGCTTGCACACCTTCAGCTCTGTTTAATTAGTTTCACCTTAAGCTAAACTAAACCTAAACTCGATTCCCAAACCCTAAATCCCATCTCAAAAACAGAACTGCTTTTAATGGGGCTCATAAGAACCCATGACTCCTTATAATGGAGTGTAGGTTTGAAAATGTATTTAGCAAAATAACACAGACAAATACATCTGTTTATGAAGCCTGTTATTGACTGAATGCATATGATTCCTTGACTTAATACACTTAAAATGAAAAGTTTGTCTCTGGCCTTGTTTGAAGGAATTGTTCCCCATCAGGTCTCAGCTTTCAGATATGAATCGATATCAGTTTCCACATAGATGGAAAGAACTGGGGGAAGATGATAAGGTGGTAAGCTAAATGGCAATTATTAACACATTATAATGATAAGCTGAATATAATAAATATATGATGTGAATCAGTTTTACTCTTTGATTCTTAATGCAGCAAAACTTTAGTTAAGTCTTAGAGAACTCTGATTCCAGAAATGTTCTTAATCTCCTTCCTATCTTCACAAAACTTACAAAACAAGAGGTGTGATACAATTTTAGGAGATACTTGATATTAACAAGAACAAAAATAGGAGCAATATTAGCAATAATATGTGTTTTATGTTTTCACAAATATAGAAACTTTTAATTTTTTTTATAATAGTGGCATTTCCTTCACCAGACAGTTGGTTTTGGTGTGAAAGGTGATTGGCCATGTTTGATGAGAACTATGCAGACTTTTTCACATTGTGAGACCTTGAACTTCAGGGTCTGGTTCACTCCTACTGAAAACATGCTTCTGTCCATTTTTTTCTTTATACATCATGCATCACTGTGCTTAAAAAAAAATCGGATTTATTTCTTGATGGTTTGGTCTCTGTGGCTCAGTTGCTTGTGCTGCATTTTCAGCAGCTGCTCCTGGTGCACAGTCATTGCAGTCTGGCCTGTCTGCTCCGGTTTCATAAGCAGAAAGTGAATGACCTATATAGTTCTCAGAGGGAGGGGAAGTCACCTTGCTGGTTGACCAGGAAACAGGCACGTGGCATGGCGGTGATGAGGTTTTATTAAAGGGGTTGACCAGCAACTTAATATTGTAGGCAGACTTTCGATGGATGTGTCGTTTGCGGCTCACGTTGCTAATGGCTGAAAATCTTTCCAGGGCTGCGTCTCTTTGCTTGTGTTGTCTTCTGTCTAACACTGCTTTGTCTTAATGTGGAAAGGCCAAAGTAAAGGGGAACATCCAGTGCATTAACGTGCTGAAAAACACATCTTGACATGGACTGAATTTGCAGACACAAACATTCACCTTAGGTGAAACCACAAGGCCCGGTGCCAGAGAGATCAAGTCAGACAAACACCTCACCAGAGACTCCTCTAAGCGTCCTAACAAATTGAATGTGTGTGTAGACGGACAAGAGGGAATTAGATCAGTGGTCGTGATTGTATCTGAGTGTGCTGCTGCGGTACACCTTTCCAGTACGTCCCCGGGAGGAAATGTGTGTGCAGGGAGCGGAGACAGAGGGAGGATGGGGAGAGGGAGCCAAGCAGCTGGATGATGGAGGCTGTACGGAGAATTTTAACCAGACAATCACCTTGCATGTTATTGATTGGGTTGGAAGAGAGGTAATTAGCACAGAAAAGAGGAAGAAGCTAGGGCCACTTTTGATGTTTTGATACAAAGTGTTCCCTCTTTGTACCCATCCACGTGTTTGTGTGTCTGTTTTGTGTTTTAGCTTGAAGGGAAAGGCTTTACTTCAGATTAATCTAAAGCTGTAACAAATATACAATATGCAATACAAACAACCAAATTCTTATTGTGAAACAAATCACTACACACCATTTACCGTAATGGAAAGGAGTTTTCAACAGATTGTTTTGTGAAAGACAGAACCAGGTCCTTGTGAGGTTTCTTGAGGCCATTTCTGGTTTGGGTTTGGATGTCCAGCCCATGTGATTCTCAAGGATTTGAAGAAAAGGTTCCTGACTATTTCACTTCCAAGGTATTTCATGCTTCCAAGTCATGCTTGTGTTTGGTGTTTTTTCACTCGATAATGAAAAGCAGCCCAGAAAGTGATCTGATCATATTCTGAAAGAGGTGAACTTCTAACTCCAGTTCTCTGTATCTTTCATAAGAAGCAGATTTAAGCGGTCTTGTTGACTTGGCTGCATGTTGGATGCACCATGAGAACAAAAACACTTGTTCTAGATCCTGCAGTGCAGCGTGTCTGACCACAAAACTGTGATAGTACAGGTTTTAGATGGGCTTGTTTGAAAACCAAAACGATTTACATAACGAACTTAACCCTGCAGTCACAGAGTTCTGAATGCAACTTCTGCTCGCTTGCAGGATTACAGCCACCGCCATAGCACCATACTCCCCAGGGGGTTGCAACCTATCCAAATAACATCAATTTGGAGCTTTTTCTAACCCCCACCCCAGCCTCGGCCAATCTCAATTGATCTTCATTGACTTGCGTTGTAGAGGGTTGGACTTTACCAGCTGAGCTTCCTGAAAGTTTGAATACTTGGATCCAGAAAGGCTGCAACATAGCCTTCTCCTTTCATTAGCACTGATTGTCTCAGTCTATCAGAGTGAAGAAAGAGCTTATACAAAAAAGGAAGGACTTGATTAGCCAGTCTGTCTACATTTTGACCCTCTAGTATGATTTTAGATTAAATGAATCATGAACCAATGAAGGTAGATAGTAGTAAAGGGGGATGACCATGACCTGACTCTGTAGGGGCCACTTAGTTCCAGTGCTCCCCTAGCCTGGCCAGCCACACCAACTGAAGCTGTTAATTACTCCCACCTCCTGAGGGAGGCAACCAGGGGGCATCCGAAAAAGGTGTCCGAGTCAACAGCTGACTCCTCTCGATGCGGACGAGCAGCGGCTCTACTCTCCTGCCAACCTGCAGAGAAATCTCATTTTAGCTGCTTGTATCTTGGACAGACCTAGGCTAGTGCTTCCCTCCAGTTCAGGAGGTTCAGTGATCTGACCAGGATATGAGATGTCCTCCTGTGAAGGTCCACCAGCCATGTCCTCTGGGAGGTTTCCACAAGGCAGAACCAAAGCTTTACCAGACAGGATATCTCTTCTTCAGACACTTTGGGAGCACCTTGTATGGGGTAGGGGGTGTTGCTAGAGAGAGATGTCTCTCTCTTCATCTGCTGCTTCTTTTTAAACACATTCATCATTATAAAATATAGCTTTTATGGATACAAGCACAAAAAAATACATTATCTTTAAGTAAAAACTCCAAACATATTAGGATTGTACCATTAAAATAGTTTGAGCTTCCAGAGAAGCCTCTGTATGCAGAGGAAGAAGCTTTAAATCACCAGTGGTTTGTAGAGGTTTCCTACCTTCAGGCAGTGCTACTTTAAAAAAATCCACTCCTCTTTTTTGTGTAAATCACCGCTTGCTTTCAGGAAGACTTTTGAAGAATATTTGCTGTGATCATAGTTCATTACTGCATCCACAAAGTTACCTTGAAACTTTTACATCTGAAAATGATACAGCAAAGCTTTCCCTGGTTGTTACCTTCTGAGGCTGAACTTTGGAGGGAGGGAAGGTGATTGATGGATGGACGGACGGGTGGAGGAGCGGAGGGAGGTGCTGTGTGACGGCAGCATTGCAAGCTCTTCAGCGCCAGTCATCTTTTCTTCTTCTACTTACATTCCTTTTCCTTTCACCAAAATCTATAAAATGTTCCATAAATACCACATTTTACAGTAGATTATAGTTAGACACTGATTACCATCAAAGGATGCCCTTGTTGGAGGGAATCGTTCCCTACTTTCCCTACTTAATGCTATATCAGTGAGAAGGTCAGTAGTAAAGAGGAACAAATGTTTTTATGCTTTGGATCTTTTGGATCTTTCATCAGTTCACTCGCCTTTACCCTTCATAGAAATATATATATCAGAAGTTTAATCCATAATGCTGTTTGCTCTGCAAAGGATTCGTTTTTTTTGTCATTTTTTTCAACACTTTTTCCAGTAATTCACAGGTTTTATTCTGAAAAAAGGGGAGACGTTTTTCCGTTTATGTTTGACATCCTGTTCTGCGTCTCTCTGCTTATTGAATTTAAATAATCCTCTCTATAATTCTGTCAGAGTCGTCTCTGTAAGCCCAGCGGAGCTATAAATCAGGAGATCTCAGAGCCGCTCTCTGTCTGTTGGAAGACATCTTTATGACCCGCCACACTCGCTGCTGCTGTCACTTCAACTGTAAAAATTCATTTCACCATGTGCATCAGCTCAGAAGGCAGCATTCCTTCCAGGATTGGTTGATGACTTTAATAAATCCTTTTTTAGATTTATGCACCTACTGAATGTATCTTTGTTTTTCTCTGTGTTGCCTTTCAGCTCAGCGCTCAGGCAACCTTCCTCCACAGCCAAAGTGTGCCTGGTCTGCGGAGACGAAGCGTCCGGGTGTCACTACGGCGTGGTGACGTGTGGAAGCTGCAAGGTCTTCTTCAAAAGAGCCGTTGAAGGTAAACCTGAGCTCATTCTTAGGCTGGGCCTCACTGGAGGCCTGTACCATGAAGCAGGATTACTGGGTTTTAACCCTGACTTGCCGGTACCACCAAGCTGGATTCAATCTTAGCATGACTGGTTACCATGGTAACGCACTCTGACCTAGCAAACTTGCTCCATTTCAGGCTAGCTTTCAGGTTTGCTTTGAATCTTAAAAAGACGTTCCACCCAGCAGCCAGTCAGCTTTTAGGGAAAGAATGATGCACCCTTTCTTTGAAGACGCTTTTTAACTCAGAGGAAAAATAATTTAAATAATAGAAAACCAAAATAAAAGAACCTGAAAACCAAAAAGCTGTTAAAAAAAATATTTCCCTGACAAATTTGATTTCAATTTCATCCATCCCTCCATTATCTGACACGCTTGCCCCAAGTGGGGTAGCGAGGGGTGCTGGTGCCTATCTCCAGCAGTCTATGGGCGAGAGGCGGATCCCACCCTGGACAGGTCGCCAGTCCATCACAGGGCAACACAGAGACAAACAATCATTCACACACACACACACTCACAGCAAAGGAGAATTTAGAGAAGCCAATTAACCTAAAAGTCATTTTTTTGGACTGTGGGAGGAAGCTGGAGTACCCGGAGAGATCCCACACATGCTCAGGGAGAACATCCAAACTCCTTCTTTTTGACTTACAAACCTTTGACTATTCTTTTTTTTTTTATCCTCATACACCGCCACTATTCAGTAGTTTGAAGTATAATTGTTATATGAAGTTTGGCAAAAAAGAATAAAATAAAAATCAGAGCTCAAATTGAGAGAAGATCCTTTGATGATATATCAATATATATATATAATATAAGTTCTCACTGCTCTGCTGGCATTTTTAAGATCATCCATTCGACTTGCAGCAGTGCGGCCCTCATGGTAACACTGACTGTATGAATGGCCATGAGATATTATGCAACCTGCAGCTTCATGTACATCGTCAGGGATGCTGAGCGGCTCAGGAAAAATACAGCCTGCTGAGCTGTAAGTCAGGTGTCCAGAGTCCTGATGCAGTTGATGAATGAATTGTCTTTCCTGCATGGCCACTTGCCATAGCAGGTGAGTCAATACCTGGATATGTCTGAAAATGCATGTTAATTGCATTCTAAAAATCTGGCTCTATATATTGGACACACCTTCTCATTCAAAGTTTTCTTTATTTTCACGACTAGGAAAATTGGCATCAAACCTATGAATTAACACATGTGGAGTTATATACTTAACAAAAAAGCCTGAAACAACTGAACATATGTCTTATATTCTGTTTTCTTCAAATTAGCCACCTTTTGCTTTGATTACTGCTTTGCAAATTCTTTGCATTCTCTTGATGAGCTTCAAGAGGTAGCAAAGGTTAGGATTGACTGAAGTTGTGCAAAAGCAATCTGTAAAACTTAATGTTCAGAACTATTGGAAAGAGAAGAGGTAAGATCAAATAAGTTTAACTTCTTTATACCGTTTTCAGACATAAGCACTGAGTTCTACATATAATGAAATTCTATATAATTAATAATGTTATTATAAAGTTGCCTGTGTTCAATTTCTATTTAATGGATTTTCTGAAAGGAAGTAATACAGTGATTTATCTTCATTATAATTATTTCTTTAATTATTGTCATCATTGCCTTTACTTATATAACTGCATTTCAGTAGTTAGGTGAAGCCAAACAGTTTTAAGCCTCTAACCATTTGCACAAGCAATCTTTCTGGATCACCTACAACACGCCCAAATAAAATGTTTGCACGAGCAAATACTTGGAACACCCCTCAGTTAAAGCATGATGGGCCTTATCCCATCATGCTTTAACTGAAGGGTGTTCCTGTGTCCTCCTGCGAGCCGAGCAGGAGGACTCAGCTTTGGTCTAAGCTTTCTGTTATATAACCTCTTTAATGTGAGGTTATTAGTTCCTGCTGCCTTTGTGTGAGCTGTGGTTAAATCTTATGCAGACTTTAACTGCTCGTTATCACATCAACTAATAAAATTTTTTATTTTATTCATTGTTTGCCTGTGAGCAACTGTTAAGTTTAACCCCGACACCCCCGACTCCAATCTACGGCCTGCAAAGAAAACCCTTCTTATGCAATCCTGGGCCAGGCCTTTTCCTTCACAGTAATGATGTGAAACTAAAGGGGGTTGTTCGTTTTTTTTTGGGAGAGGCTCTGTAGTGAGACCAACTGCGTGTTTTTCCCCCAAATTAACCTGAAAATTACCAAACAGAAGCTTTTTATTTAGCCAGTGTGACCTGCTTTAGACAAGCATAATGAAAAGGAAACAATTCAGAAGGGAGCTGCTCTTGTTATATTTAGCTTGGGAGAAATTCCAGCCTCAGTCATAATGTGCTTTTCATGTCGCGCCTGCTGCCTGAGGCCTTGGCCTAACTCATTTAGATGAATGTTTGAATGCAAAGCACACTGAAGAGCCCGGCGATGGTGAGGAGGGGAGAAAAATGCGTCTCTTGCCAGCCTGCTGTCCAGCCCTTTGCTTGATCTCATGACCAATGGAGGATGTGCAGTAATTCACAATCAAATCGTCCTCTGATTCAATGATATTTACACATTATCATCGCAGAGACATAAAACCGGATTATGTGTCTGTGGTTATCTAATCAGACATGCCGTTGTTCCAGTGGATAAGTCAAAGATATGGCGATGAGGGAGATGGGGCAAAAAAAGCTGCATTTAAACAATAAATATAAATAAGGAGGTAAATTTGTTGCAATGTTATAAAAAAAAAGGGACTTATTTCAAAGAAGTGTATTTGTGGAAAAATGCTTTTTTTTTTTTTATAAAACTTCTTTATCAAAAAAGATTTAAGAATTATTTCTAGGTATGCAGAAGTTCAGCCAATAGCTTTAGAGTTTTTCAGATTTCATTTTCCACATTTTATTTCTTTTGAAATATTTCAGTAAATGTATAGTCATAAAACTGCAACTCTAAGTTGTGAATCTTGTTCCATTATAGTGGCAGTAATAAGTTGAGGTCAATAAAGTCAATCAATAAAGTTAATCAATCAATAAACAAAACTTTGAAAAACAAAGTAACCAAAAAAAGTTTTAAGAGTAACATTTCTGTTTTTTCACTTTTTCTTTCTTTCTTTTATGTAGTGTTTACAGATGTTATATTTTCTTTTTTTCATTATTTCTGCTATTCAAATTGAGTTTTACAAAAATGAAATTGAACCATTGTAATAAAAAAAGAGAAAAAAAGAAACATTTTGAAAAAACACAGAAAAGACAGATAAGATATAAAATGTGTGCTTTGCTCACAGCAATAAAGAAGCAACATTTTCACCAAAGACGTTTTAAAAAAAGTCTGTAAAGAATTATTGGTAAAACTTTTGGATGCAATTCGTAATTTTTTCAGCTTTTAAAAGTTCCATTTTTGAAACACACTTTCTTCAAATGTCCTTTTTTGAAATGTTTTCTTTGCTTTCAATAATACTGGACCACATTTCTCTCTATATAAACGACACACGTTTTAGACAAGATGCTGCAAATGTTCAAACTGAGAAAGTGAAGCATGCGGCGTAGTGATGTGAGCTGTTACCTCATTTGACCTCAACACAGCTGCTGCTGAGGTGGAAAAAAAGAAAAAAATGAGAGGAAAGGCGAAGCAAAGGATGAAAATAGTACAAGAAGCATTTAGCAAAGTGAAGGGAGATAGAGGACAGTGAAACAGATACGGGGAGGAGGAGGAAGGACAAAGAAAAAGTCAGACAGAGACGAGAGATAATGGGAGGAGGAGCCGGAGAGACTAAATAACAAGGAGAAGGATGGAAAGTGATGTGTCAGCAGTGAGAGGTGCAAGTTGGGACGTGAGGAGTCGCTCTCCTCTCTTCCTCCACTTCTTCCTCTTTTTCCTCGCTTTTCTTCTCAAAGCTACTGTAGCAGGATAGGAATCTGCAGATCTTTCTGCACAGCGGCCCCCGGGGAACACAACTCCTTAGCTGTAGTTCGTTAGACGCTAAATGGCTCATAGTCCTTCAGCGCCGAGCTGGTTAGCATTCTGCAGAACAGTCAGATAAAATTATAAATAAAATGATCTGACTGTGGCACACATTCGGTTTAGCTAGTTTTTATGTTGCAGTGCTCAACCTGAACTCTGCTGTATTTAAATTGGGGCCATCTGTTTAGAACATCTATGGGCCCCCGGGGGCCTTCACTGTCCAAACTTCCTCTCACATAGTTCCTCCCAGAAGGGTGAATAATAACTGTTTCTAAGTTTCTTCTTCTACTAAAGTCACTAAGTTCACATCTATAAAGCCTTACAACAAACAAATGTTTACATGCGTTTATAAAAAGACACTTTAGAGTTCATTTTTTCCTGTCTGATGTTCAGTCACCTTTATCAAGGTTACTTCCCTTTGCTGGAAAATAAATGACACATTTCTTTTTTCTAAAGAAGCATGTCTGCACAATCTGAAATATAAGTAAGTACATTTTTGTGAAACTAAGTGTATCCTAGCTTGTTTTAGGCAATTTACCTGTGATTTAAGATGTTTACATTTAAAACAAGAAAAAAACAACATACAGTAACTAACACAACTTATTTAAAGAGCATGATATTGAATTATCTCATTTTAAGGGAAACAAATCTCCGGTAATTCTGTCACAGATAATGTTGTTAACCTGCCTATTAACCTGCCTTAGTGACTAAAGTCACTAAGTTCACATCCATAATTAAATGATTTTAAAATATTTTAACCTTTTTTAAATCGGTTTTTGCAATGTGTCCTTGTTGTTTCATAGAACTGCATCATATTTTTTTACTCAAACATTCCTTCCAGAAGCTTCTCACAAGGTTCCTTCTACCTCCAAAGAAAACAACCTTCAAATCGGTGGTTTTTATGATCCAAAGCTTAATTTAGGCTTGATCAGATCACAGAACCTGTGTCAAAAGGGAAGATTTCTGTGTTAATTTGCTAAAAAAGACTTACAGTATAAACTGATCTAAAGGTATTTAAAAATAAAATG